AAAATTGTATTTTTAATTGTGCAAAAGAAAATATTCAAAATGTAAAATAAAAATCAGTGCAAATGTCACAGAATTTATGTAGCATCACCCAAAAGGGGAGATAAATGCCTGAATGTGCTTGTTATTGCAAAAAGAAAAAAGAAGTAAGCAAATTTTGTATTTCTACAAAATTGCCCCTTAGGATCTGTCATTTCTCACTCTTATTCCAGAAAGTAAAGTCTTTTTTTACTGTTACAACTAATAAAATACTAAGTATTAAAAATGATGCAAAGGAGAAGGACCTATGTATAATTATTCAATATTCACAATTTATTAAAGCCATGGAAAGTGTCTGGAATTAGAATCCAATTTCTTCTTGTATTGCTTCAGAGCCACATTTTCATTGTCTTGGTATAGAAATTCACAAGTATCATATCATCTAAGAAGGATTTCAACATTCAACATTCAGTTTTGAAATTGCTATATTCACAGTTACCATATTTCAGCTTCTCAAATCCATGAATCTAATTTGCATATTTTGCAAGTTACTATAAATATACATGTTATTAATTTGCACTCTTTTTATCCAAATTCAGCACATTAATTTTTCATCTATTTTGTCTGAGTACTGTTTAAAATCCCAGCTACGATTATGTATACCAGTGAGGTATAGTGGTTTGAATGTTGGCTCAAAACTCTAAATGTTCATACAACAGGGCCACCTTTGGAAGCTGGGCATGATGCAGATGGTGATCCCTCCCCACACCTCAACCTTGCTATATGAATGTTCATAGGGCAGCCCCACATTTGAAAGCCAAGCATAGTGCAGGAGATGATCCCTCACCTTCCCCTAACTCAGCAGACACAAATTCAGGAGGTGGGGTAGTGGTACAAACTCATGAATAATCAAAACCACAAGGGTGAAACCTGCAAAAGTCGAGAGATTACTATAGTTCCTTTATTTCTGTATTTCAGAATAATCATGTTAGACTGCTGCCATGTAGTCCACATCAGAAATGTGGATTAAAGAGATCCAGTTCTACACAGGCACCCCATGAACCAGTTCAAAGCTGCCACAGAGTCCACAAAAATCCCCTGATTGTGGACTGATCCAATCCCTGGATTATTTTTCCCTACCTCCTTTGTCTAGATAGGCTTGTAAAAAAAGTTTATGAGTGCTTGACTGGAGCAAAGCAAGAATTGGATCTGGAATTTCCCGTGATTTTTTTATGTGCTGTTTCCAGTTGGATTTGTAGCTCACATTGATGGTGTACATTTTGTAGACACCCCAATCTCAAGCTGACTTCAAGTTGGATTTTAGCGCCTATGTAGAATGGTCCTTAGTCTTTTGCAAGAACAGACTATCATTGCTACATAGAAACACAGAAGAAAGCTCTTATTTTTAAGCAAGAAGATACACAGCAAAACAATAAAAAGAATTACACCCAGGCAATACCAATGTACCTCAGTGCACCACCTTGGTGGACACACAGTGTTATTTCTGTTTTTAATCTTGTCTGTGTATGTCAGAATGTGTATCTTTTTTTAAAAAAAATACTGTTCCAGATAAAAATCATACTTTGTTTACAGCCAAAAGCTTGTAAGTTAACAAGGAAATACTGTGAGCAGGTGAACTTCTGACCTTTCCCTTCAGTGACCTGAACTGCTGCAGAAAACAAAGCTTAAAAGAAACTTGGTGCCCATATAATTGGAAACATGCTGAAAAGAAGACAGGCATCACACCAGTAGACTAATTAGATATGTGGCTCTGTGTCAGAGTAACACACAAAAGGCTTCCTTCATTCTTATTAGCCATTCCCTGTTAACTACAAGTTTCTGATGAAAAATATACACACAAAGAATTCCTTTGACACATCTCCTGTTCTGAAGTTGAAGACTTCAAGCCTAACATTGTCTTTACAATCATAAACTCTGATTCCAACTATTGTTGTTTTATAAACCTTGACTTTTCTTATCGGAAGTGGACTCATTATACCTAACTATGTCAAGATCATGATCCCTTCTTTTTTGACTATAGCTAATTTTAGTACCTACATTCTCAAGGGAATGGAGACCACATAGATCACACATGAAGAATTCTCATCGTGAAGTGATTTAGGGTCATCTACATTGTAGAAGTAATGTGATTTTACACTACTTTACCTGCCATGGCTCAATGCTATGGAATCGTGGAGTTGTAATATACAAAATCTTTAGCCTTTTCTTCCAAAGAGAGATGACTAAACTACAACTACAGCTGAGACTTCTCTTTTCGCAGGTCCGTGAAAGCTAAAATGGATGCCTCTTCCTCGGCTTGCTCAGAGGAACTCACTTGCACTTGATATCTAGGCTGAGAAGTAGTAGCTCCTTCCATACATTCTGCTTCAAAGCTTGGCTGACATAACTGCTGGACACTGTTGAGCTCCAGTTTGACAGCTGAGCTTTCAAGTAGCATCCCCTCATCCTCACTTTCCAAGCTATCAATTATACCATGAGTCACCACTGATAGATCTTTAACCTTAAACCACTTCTAGGACACCTCCAAACGATCCATGTTCTCGCAACAGATTTCTGTCTCCTACCATTACACTGCCATGTACTTACCAGCTGTGAACTTGCCTTAGAAAACATAGTTATGAGACCTAGATATAATAGTTTCCCATCCAATGCCCATACACCCATGCTTCCCAAAATGTACACATTTGCTCAATTGCATTCCCAAACCTGACTGTATTCTCATAATCAGACATCAAAGGTAGAAGTATAAGCTACTAGATCTTTTTTTCTAAAGCAGAACACAGTGACAGACATCCTTTGCAACCTCTTTAAAAAAACATATGGATGATTCTCTACTATTTCCCTCACTGTCCACCAAGCAAGAAATGATAACATATCCTAGGAACCATAACTGATAAAAGGTAGGTTTAGATTTCTGGCACTTGCAATTCTGGCTTCTGCTGTTGTTAGGGAAGAGAGATGGTTTGAGGAACAAAGACAAAGAGAGATCCAGAGTACTGGAAAGCACGCTTTATTCTCGGTTGGCGCCAACCGGATATAGACCCCCTGGTAGGCCAGGAAAGAAGGGTCCCGAACAAAAGAAATGCAGAGTATTTATACACTTTTTGAAAATAAGTATTCATGCATCATAGAAACATCACAATGTGCGTCACAAACATCTACTCTTACACTGACTTCAAAGGCATATTTTGAAAATCAACAAGTTGTCAATCCTCATTAATTTACTATCTAAAGAGTGACCATTAATGCACTCCCAGCGCCGGGATGTCTCCGGACCTGCTCCATCCATCCTGAGATAACATTCCTGAGACCCCCTAATGGACACTTCATTAGTCAATTTTACGATAAGGTACCAGGCACCTCTTAATGGCAAATTTACGATAAGGTGCCTGGGGCCTGGTATGTATCTTATCTTATGGCCTCTCGAAGTGCCAGGCACCACATTCCTTTCCTGGAGCTGGCCTCTTATTTTGCAGCTTTTGAGAAGTCAAGTGAACTAGCCAAGCTTACATACATTTTTCGTATATATTCTAACTCCTATTTCTAATATGGTTATATCAAATATATTTTCCAATATGTGTATTATGTATTTTCATCAAGCCTTCATCAAATCCCCCCTTTGGTGCTCTGAACTGGAAGGGGAAGAGCATCATCTAACTAAAGCCAATAATTGCATTTCGTCTTGTTTATCATTTACCATCTTAGATATGCATCTTTTCAGCATTTGGAAAATAATAGGCAGAATACATAACATTAGTAACACTACTAATAGGATTATACAGAAAGCAAAAAACAGTTCCTTTAACCATTGAATCGATGGTAGCCAGCTCGTGAGCCAATCAAAAGGGTTTGAAACCCCATGTGTGTTGTTTTCTATTAAGTCTGTCATTTGATTTAATTCATCCTCAATTGTTTTATTCAGATCATGGAATCTGACTTTGCAACCTTCTTTCATTAGTTTACAGAAACCTCCTTGTCTTGCCAACAGGTAGTCCAGGGCCATACGGTGTTGTAAGACAATTTGATGTAGCTCTTCTACTTCATTTTGCATGGCCCTAACTATGAGTCCTGTGGCATTTATGGATTTTTCCAATCGGCAGGTGAGGCCTAGGATACTCTTTCTATTTTCTTGGGCCACTATGCCTGGGTAGCTTCCAAGCGTCAGTATGCCCGTTAGCAGACCTCCAGCCACTCGGCCTCCTTCTGTCTCAGACAATTGTGCTCCTATTATTACCTCATCTGAGCAGGCTGGGCCTAGGGGTGCTGATCTGTCTCGCTTTGTTCTTATGCGGCGAGAAGCAACCTGGACTGGGAATGTAAAGTATCCAACGCCTGCACACTGGTATCCACCTGGATGGAAATTTGACGCCCAACCATCATAGAAAAACCACAAATTGGGATCATATATTTTCCAATCATTACATGTAAGAATATCCCCTTCATTTGTCATGCTTTTTCTCATCATTAGGGCTCTTAAGTCTTTCAAAAACTCTTCAAGTGTGTTATATTGTTCCATAAACTGTGAAAATAACCCAAAGGAACTATCTTTCATGATTTCATATTCGTTTCATAAACTGTGAAAATAACCCAAAGGAACTATCTTTCATGATTTCATATTGTTTTCTGGCTTTTTTGTAATATTCATCCTCTCCCTGGGAGGGGTCACTGTATTGTTCTTGGAAATATAAACTGTGCCAATACCCTGATGCTTGGGAAGCATTATGTTTCCCATGAAGGTAAAACTTCTCAGTGCAGTGAGAATAATTTCCCACATTGAGAAGGATTTCCCTCTCCTTTTCTGGGATACTCTTCCACCCTTTCCGATAACCTTCTGGATAATGACAACAAAAACATTTGCCAGGGGTGGTCTTTGAAACCTTTATCATTCTATGCCGTAGCCCATTTAGAGAGGCAGGGGGGTTAAAGATTGTAGGTTTTCCTGTTTTCTCTGCTAAGAGAAGAGTGGCCAAAACCACAGCTTCTTCATTGATCAAAGCAGGCAAAAAGGAAAACTCACGTACTGTTTCGGGGTGTTCATATATCAGAGTGGCATTTCTCCCATATTGATCAAACATAAATTTGGCATGCTCTTTGAACCAGTTACCATCTACTTCTAAAATTGACACACACATTAACACACATATCACCCACAAAGCTTTCATTCTTCTGGAATCTGACCGTATGTAGAGCAACCGTTCCGGTAGGCTGCAATAGGGTCTAGTTCCGTCTTCTATCCTCTCCAGTTGGGGTCTGACAGTGCGTAGAGCTTAGTCGCTTCCAGGTATGGACTTAAGCTGCAGTGTCTAGCCCGTATCTTCTCATCCAACAGCAGGGGCAGATCTGACTGTACGCAGGGCAAGACAGCTTCCTGGTATGTGTCTTGCAGTATCAGTCTAGTCTGAATCTTCTTATTTACCACCGCCTTCCTTTTGGTTAGAACAACCAAAGTTTTGAGTTATTTTAAGCTTTAGTGGGTCTTTTGGGTCTGGAATAGCATGCCAACTGGGAGCAGCCTTTTTAATTCTAGTCCAGTGAAGCCAAGGTTTGATTTCTGCTACCTTGACCGCACTGGGTGATGTAAGAATTACCACATAAGGTCCCTTCCATTTGGGTTGCAACGTTTCCCCTTTCCAATCTTTAACCCATACCTCATCCCCTGGGTGAAACAAGTGAGTGGGGGTCATGTGAATGGGCGGCCTGAACTCATAGGCATACTGTCGTAGCTCTTGCAGTGTTTTCCCCAAAGCAACCATTTCCTGTCTCTTTGCCTGGGCCCCTATCTCATGTAGTTCCCCTTGCAATCTGGGAAACAAAGGAGGGGGCCTCCCATAAAGCATTTCAAAAGGAGACAGTCCAATGGTCTTAGTGGGGGTACATCTAATATGTAACACTGCTAGAGGAAGAAGTTGAATCCAACTAAGTTCAGTTTCTTGACACATTTTAGCTAACTTAGTTTTCAGAGTTCGATTCATTCTCTCAACCTTGCCTGAGCTCTGAGGCCTATATGCACAATGCAATTTCCAAGTTATTCCAAGAACCTTAGCCAAGCTTTGAATGGTGGCTTTAACAAAAGCAGGGCCATTATCTGAGCCTATGAATGCTGGCATCCCATGTCTTGGGATTATGTCTTTCATGAGTGCTCTTGCCACTTCCGTGGCCTTTTCAGTAACAGTAGGGTACACTTCCGGCCACCCAGTGAAAGTGTCTACCATCACCAGTAGGTAGCGGTATCGCCCTACTCTAGGCATTTCACTGAAATCTACAACAATGGCTTCAAAGGGTACATTTCCACAATGCTGGATGCCTGGGGGCTGGCGCGGCCCTTGGCGTGGATTGTTCTTAGCACAGGTGTGACACCTAGCTGAAGCTGCCATTGTCAAAGAGTGGAGTCCATCTATGTACAGTTGTCTTTCTAGTAGTTTAGCTAGCGCCATTTTTCCTAGATGTATGGACTCATGGGCTCCTTTCACTACCTCCCATGCCATGGTTCTGGGGACAATGATTCTTCCATCCGGAAAGGCTAACCAACCAGTAGAGTTCGCCAATTCTACTGCTCCATTGTCCTGGGCCCATTGTTGTTCTTCTTTATTATAGGTAGGCTGCACCTTGGGATTGGGCAAGGGGAGAAGGGTAGCCACCTGAAGGGGTCTGGCAGCAGCTTCTTTGGCTGCTGCATCTGCCCTTCGGTTCCCTTGTGCTACCGGATCTTGCCCTGGTTGATGTCCCTTACAGTGCATCACAGCTACTTGTTTTGGGGCCCATACAGCTTCTAGGAGATGTAATATCTCTTCTGTACGTTTGACTGGTTGGCCTGCTGCAGTTAAAAGTCTTCTTTCTTTGTAAAGTGCACCATGGGCGTGCAGTACTAAAAAGGCATACTTTGAATCAGTGTATATGTTAACTCTCTTTCCCTTTGCTATCTCCAGAGCCCTGGTGAGAGCAATGAGCTCAGCCTTTTGAGCTGATGTATTTGCTGGCAGTGGATTTGCTTCCAATATTTCTTTGATGGTAACTATTGCATATCCTGCTTTTCGCTCCCCTTCTTCCATATAGCTACTGCCATCAGTGTATATGGTGAGCTGAGCTCCTTGCAATGGAACATCAGTCAAATCAGGTCGACTGGCATATACTGTGTCCATTACTTCAATACAGCTATGATGTTTCTCCATATGGGGATCTATAGGTAGGAGGGTAGCAGGATTCAAAGTAGTGCATTGCTGAACCTTAATGTGAGGGTTCTCACATAACAATGTCTGGTATTTCAGCATTCTGGAGGTGGTAAGCCAATGGTGTCCTTTGTGCTCTAACAATGTCACTACCTCATGCGGGGCCTTGATAGTCAAATCCTGTCCTAGGGTCAACTTCTGGGCTTCTTCAGCTACTAAGGCAGCAGCTGCTACTGCACGTAGACATGGGGGCCATCCTTTTGCTACCATGTCTAGCTGTTTAGACAAATAGGCCACTGGTCGTGGCCAGAAGCCCAAAGTCTGTGTTAAAACGCCAATGGCTACACCCTCTTTCTCAGCAACATAAAGAGTGAAGGGTTTAGTTACATCAGGTAGGCCCAAAGCTGGCGCTGTCATCAGGGCTGACTTTATTTGCTGGAAAGCCTCGTCCTGTTCTTGTGTCCATTTAAAGGGTTCTTTTTCACCCCCCTTTGTAACTTGGTACAAAGGTCTTGCCAATACTGCATAGCCAGGAATCCAAAGTCTACAAAACCCTGCTGCCCCTAAAAATTCGCGGACTCTCTTCCTCGTAGTGGGGACTGGGATTTGGCAGATGGCTTGCTTTCGTTCAGTTCCTAGGCTTCTAAATCCTTGTTTTATTTGGAATCCTAAGTATTTGACCTCAGTTTTGCACAGCTGGGCGTTGGTCCTTGATACTTTATATCCCTTATGGCAAAGTAATTGGAGTAGCCGCTTGGTGGCGCCCCAACTCTCTTCCATTGAGGTGGAGGCCAAAAGTAAATCATCTACATATTGCAAAAGGACAGTCTTTTCTGAGTCAGAATGAAAGTCCTCCAAATCTTTTGCTAGGGAAGTCCCAAATATCGTTGGAGAATTTTTAAAACCTTGAGGCAATCTGGCCCACGAATACTGTTGTTTTGCTCCCGTGGCTGGGTCTTCCCATTCAAAAGCAAACAACAGCTGGCTTTGGGGGGCTAACCTTATGGAGAAAAAAGCGTCTTTAAGATCAAGGACCGTAAAATGGGTGGCCTCTGCTGGTATGAGTCCCAATATCACATAAGGATTTGGCACAACTGGGTGCAAGGTAACTGTTGCCTTGTTGACTTCCCTAAGGTCTTGAACAGGGCGAAAATCATCTGTGGTACCTGGCTTCTTGATTGGAAGGAGTGGTGTATTCCATGGAGACTGGCATTTTGTTATAATGCCATGCTGCCACAGACGGTCCAAATGCTTTTGGATTCCCTTTATTGCTGGTCTGGGAATTGGATACTGCTTTAGACTGACTGGACGGGCTCCTGGGATTAGCTCTACTACGACTGGAGGTATGTATTTGGCCATGCCTGGGGGGTTGTCTTCTGCCCATACCTCGGGAGTTTCAAACTTTTCCCATTCATTGTTCTCTGAGCCCTTTTTAACTACTAGCAGCCTCCATTCCTCCTCCATAGGGCAGGTGAGGTGCAAAAGGCCTGTGGTTCTTCCTACAGCCATCTTAGCAGATCCATCTTCCTCAAATGATAGCCTTGCTTTTAGTTTGCACAGCATGTCCCTTCCCAGCAATGGAACTGGGCAGTTAGGCATATATAGAAAGCTGTGGGTGACTTCTTTATTTGCTAGCTGACATCTTCTTTCCTGTAGAAAGGGTCGGAGACATTGATCTCCTGTTGCTCCCATAACTTTTATGGTTTGCTGAGTTATGGGGGCCAATGGGGTGGTAACTACTGATTTTTCCGCTCCTGTGTCAACTAGGAATGTTATTTCTTGGGATCCTACTTTTGCCTTGACCAAGGGTTCCCTGGATCCCAAGGTTAGAACCCCGGACTGGCTTCAGTCCTCTTCTGGCCCTGACCATTGGGGGCCTCCGGCCAATCCAATGAATCCTTCTTCCTCTGGCTGCTCACGTGCTTCTTGATAGAAGGGTCTCTGTCTCCCGGGCATCTCACTTCCTCTTCATCACTGTGACCAGAAAAGTGGTGTAAGTCCAGTTCATGCCATTGTAATTCACCAACAGATTGCCAGACATCATTTTTTTCAACCCCATTCCTGATTAAATATCTCCTCTCATGTAGCAAAGGTAAAAACATATATATTAACCAAGTTTAAAATACATACATACACACACAATCAATGTGTAGTCTGCAAGTCTATAAACAAAAATGTGCACATATTTTTCATTTTCTTATCAGCAAGACCACCCCACAAATATACATTTATCATCCATATGAGAAATGAAAAAAGGTTCATCCTACAAATGGCATTATATTTGTATGGGGCCATAGTGTTGCAAACCTGGGATGAAAATGTTAGTGGGATTCTGATTACTGCAATACAATGAAATTGGGAGATTTCTCAGTCCTGCTACAATGTATACCTATCTGAAAAACTCTCAACTTAATCTGAAGTTCTGAAGAAATTGTCTTTTTACTGGTAGTTCTCTAGTTCTAAAAATGGAAACTCCTCTGGCATTCATTGCTCTCTTTTAAGTGCTAAGCTAAGACCTTTGTGTTGTCCCAGGCTAACTATTGAGTTCAACTTATTTCTCTGCCTGTGGCATTGCCAGTTGATTTTATGCCTTTTGATTTATATTATGCTTTTGCCGCTTTTTATTGTGTATTTAGGTTTTATAACTTCATTTTCAAAATCTATTTTTTACACTACTATGAAATTCAGTGATGTTTCAGCCATGGATTCATTATGATTATGTGGATTCCCTTGAACTTCGCTCAGCATATATAATTCAGCCTATACATAATTGCTGTCAAGAAGTTAAAGGGGTTTGATTTGTTACCACAAGAGTTGTGTGTGAATGTGCATATGTGTGCAGTGGTTGGTGGTAGTGGCTCATGAATGAAATTTTTAAAAGTGTGAATCTTCAAAAAAAACCTGGGCACCTTTTGATGTACTGAAGAAAATGTAATCTCATTTAGAATATACAACAGCTATTGCATCATAAAAGGAAGCAACTATTGATTTTTTTTTAAAAAAAAAACAATAACAACAACAACAATACATTTTAAAGGTAAGTGTATCTTCCTGCTGTCACGTTATTGAATTTTGTGTATCAAATCAAGTTTTACCAACAGAACATTATAAAAAGTCAATAATGTTAGGAGATGAACCATCCCTTTAATGTGAAAGATTTCCAAAAGAAAAAGAGACATGAGGGGAGTTAAATATTCCCATACTAATGTGCTATTGTTTTACTCTCTCTCTCTCTTTCTTTTTCAAACTATCCTATATAGATAATTTCAGTTACCCAATTTTTGATATGGCTTTATCTACAGAACATAACTTATTAGTTTGTTATAAACAAGCATATTTACCCAAATGAATTGGTACATCCCTGAATAAAAACTCAGTTTTTGTTTAAATTTCAGATTAGCAACTGAGGGTACTTTCAAACATACATTAACCCAGCTTCAGTGCAGGCTTAAGTCCCCACACCCGGGGGAAAAATGGGCTTTGCCCATTGACTGTCCCCATGCCGTCCCGAAAACTCTCCAATGTACCAATGATGTGTCAGGAGGTGAGGGGAGGCTCAGGAGCCATTTGCCCCCCCCCCCCATCCCCGCCTCCTGGTGCATCATTGGTATGCTCCAGGAAGCCTGCAGAGAGGCCCAATGGAAACCTGGTCAGTTTTCCTTTATATTTAAGGCTTTGTGAGAGGGGGTTGGAGAGGGGGTGGGTACCCTCCTTGGTTCTCCAGGCTTTTGGAAGCCTGGAGAACCAAGGTGGGCTGTTGGGATAGACCAATGGTTAGGCCCAGGACTACCCGGGAGTGAGTCCCCATAGGGCCCATTCTCCATTAGAACTGGGTATTTCAGGAAGGTCCAGGTCTAATGGGATATCTAAATAATTTGGGACAAAGCAGGGTTAGATACAAGAGTCTAAATCAGGAAGATTATATGCAAAGGTTAGTGCTTTTCCGAAGTTAAATTACAACATAGTTTTATCATCATACATAATAAGACTGGCAAATTTTGACAGGGTGTTTGTATTAGTGGCTCATTTACTCTCTCCACTCTAGCCCAGTGAAAAAAAATGGCATGTCCATGTACATATAGATTATATATGTACACACTCAAACCTCATTGAAATCAATTAGATTTAAATTAGTCTGACTTAACATTGATTTTAATGGTATCAAAGTGTGACTAAAGTGCTTTGGATCCAATCTGTATCTATTAGGCTACTGTCCCCAGTTGTTACAGGATGAATCAATACAGATTGCTGCAGCTTATCCCATCAGGGAAATAACAAGATGTAGGGATTCGTTTCTCCCACTTCATGAAGGCAAAGTGATTGCTTCACAAGGCTCCAAAGGGAAGAAAAGGCCTCATTAAATGGGAGTGCCAGTAGCTACTATCTGTGTAATGGGATCGATGATATCTGTATGCTCCAAGTTAGCAAGCCAAGACTGGATGACAGGTCAGCCCCACAGCCTCACATTGAGAATTTTCCAACTCATTAGAAAGGAGACTTTTGGGTTCTGTTCATGTTTTTCTTTTGAGACTACATTACAGTAGTATGATCTGTGATAAATTTATATGTGTAATATGTTTGCCTTCAAATGGTGTGTCAATTTATGGCAACCCCGTGGATTTCTTAGGGTTTTCTTACATTAGATATACTCACAGATAGTTTTGTCAGTTCCTTCTTCTGAAATATAGCCTACAGTATCCTGGTATTCATGATGATGATAATGTATTCTGTGTACATTCAGAAGGAGACCTACAAGCGACTCTAAATGCCTTTGCACAATCATATGAGAAGTTCAGCCTCCCATTGAACATTGAGAAAACCAAAGTGCTGCTCTGTGAGTGCAGCATTCTTCCAAATAAAGCAGTTAGTGTTTGAGGATCAAGATATTCGTAGGGATACCATGATGCTTGTTTATAAAGCTATTGTCCTCCCAACCCTGTTATGCGCCTGTGAAACATGGACTGTCTACAGACATCACATGCAACTCCTGGAATAATTCCATTAATATTGCCTCTGAAAAAATCATGCAAATCTCTTGGGAAGACAGGTAAGCAAGCTGGAAGAAGCAAAGGCCACTAGCATTGAAACAGTGCTCCTATGCCATCAATTCCACAGGACTGACCATGTTGTCCAAATGCCTGACCATCGTCTCCCAAAGCAGTTAATATACTCCCAACTCAAGAATGGGAAATATAATGTTGGTGGACAGGAAAAGAGATTTAAAGATGGGCTTAAAGCCAACCTTTAAAACTGTGGTATAGACACAGAGAACTGGGAAGCCCTGGCCCTCGAGCATCCTTACTGGAGGTGAGCTGTTACCAACAGTGCTGTGGAATTTGAAGAGGAATGAATGGAAGGTGAAAGGGAGAAACATGTCAAGATGAAGGCATGTCAAGCCAACCCTAATTAGGACCGCCTTCCACCTGGAAACTAATGTCCTCACTGTGGAAGAGCATGTTGGTCAAGAAGAGGGCTCTACAGTCACCTCTATATATCAATTGCCAAGACATAATGATAATAATAATAATAATAATAATAATAATAATAATAATAATAATAATAATAAAAGTGAAACAGACAGTAGAAGAAGAGAAACATGCATTGGCAGATTATGTGAAAGGCAGTCAAGAATCAACATTGAAGGAATTCAATAGTAGTAAACTGCTTCAAGTGCAAAAGACAAAGAGGGAATACCGTAAAAACACAATCCAGAGCAGAAGAGAAAACTGGCGAAAGAAGGCTCTCCATGGACAGTTCCTGGGAAAAATTGAGAGCCAAATTGACAAAGAAAAAACATGGTTGTGGCTCACATGGAACTCTGAAAAAGGAGACAAAGGAGGGCCTGATTCTGGCAGCCCAAGAACAAGCCATTAGAACCAATGCCATCAAAGCCAGAATTGAAAAGTCGACGACAGATCCCAAATGTAGACTCTGCAAGGAAGCAGATGAAACAATAGATCACATCCTCAGCTGCTGCAAGAAGATCACACAGACTACAAGCAGAGGCATAACAGCATTGTTCAGATGATCCATTAGAACTTGTGCCTGCATCTGCCTGCAACAAAGAACTGGTGGGATCACAAGCCGGAAAAAGTTACAGAAAATGAACACGTCAAACTCCTCTGGCACTTCCGAATTCAGCCAGACAGTTCTAGAGCACAATACTCCTGACCTCACAATCGTGTTAAAAAACAAAGTATGGATTGTCGATGTTGTAATCCCAGGTGACAGCAGGATTGAAGAGAAACAAATGGAAAAGCTGACATAATATGAGGATTTAAAGATCGAACTGCAAAGACTCTGGCACAAGCCAGTCAAGGTGGTCCCAGTGGTGATCAGCACACTGGGTGCAGTGCCTAAAGACCCTGGCCTGTACTTAGACACAATTGGCGCTGACAAGATTACCATCTGCCAGCTGCATAATGCCACCTTACTGGGATCTGTATGCATCATTTGCCGAAACATCACACAGTCCTAGTCACTTGGGAAGTGTCTGTCGTGTGATCCAATACAAAAGCCAGCAGAGTGATCTTGTCTGTTGTGGACTCGCCTTGTTGTGTTTCAAATCATCATCATCATCATCATCATCATCATCATCTTTATTTATACCCCACCACCATCTCCCCAATGGGGACTTGGGGTGGCTAACATGAGACCAAGCCCAAAAAACACAATACAACACAATAAAATACAGAATGTAAAAACAAAGCTTACATCAGAAAATAATTACAGTAGCAAAACAAAACAATAAAGCAAATGAATACAATATAAAATCGAAGATAAAATGGAAGGCTATCATACTTGGACAACGAGGGATCGCCTAAGTAAGTAAGTAATTC